CATCAACTGCCCAGGCCTCAGCCCCCTGTGAGGAAACCAGAGCGGGCACCCCCCTCCCTCCAGCGATCTGGGACGCGGGGATAAGGTCATGTTCCTGAGGAAGGTTCGGAGGCCTCCCTTGCGCTCGGTGGCATCTCCCTGTAGTTGTCCAGTTAACTGACTCTATTTTCACCGAGCTAAAATAGCGCTGCTCAGCCTGTGCTTACGTTGCCATGGCGACGGGGTTCTGGCGCCGCCGTAGTCCCTCAGCCTCCGCCCCTCTTAGATCGGGGGAGACTCCCGGCCAGCGGGACAGGATCCGGTCCCCAGGGACGAGCCGCACACCCAGCTGAGGCGGGAGCCCCGCGTCCTAGGCAGGTGACTCCGGGCGGAGCGTCCGGGGCAGGCGGCCGGAGCTGGGCCTCACCGCCTCCCATCCAGGGCCTTACCGCCTCCCACCCAGCACCTCCGACAGACAAAGTGACTCAACCCTTTCCCGGCTCTGTTGTCCCTTGGTGGAGCTCGCCCCGCCCTCCTGGCCCCGCCCCGGGGGCGAGCGCGCACGGTGTGTGTGGGGGGGCGCACGCAAGATCTTGCAAGGCGCGCAGACCCTGGCTGAGTCGTGGTCTGGTCCGTAAGATTTAAACCGCACCAGCGGCAACGGGCGCAGTGCGGGAGACTCAGGCCCCGCCTTCTGTTCGGCCGGCGCTCCAGGGGCCGGAGCTGCAGCGAGGTGGGGCCGCAGTCCTGGGAGCCGGGGCGGGCCACCCCCCACAGGCCGGAGGCGCCCCCGATCCGCCCGCCCTTCCTGGCCGCGGGCTCCCGCGCCCCCTCCCGGGCACGCTTGGCACCACAGCGCCTTGGGGACGCGGGGCTGCCACGACGGGTGGAATATGCACGGCCCCGTCAGGGGCAGGACAGGCTGCCTGGACGGGAACGCGCACACGGACGTGTGGACCAGACACACAAACACGCACGCCCCCGCTGGCGGTGCCTCTCCAGCCCGGTCTCACGCTGGCCCGACTTGGTCTGGTCAGTGGCTTCCCCGCCCCCTCCACCCCACCTCCTCTGTTTCCTAGGCTTTCTCTGACCTCCTTGTTCCCGGCCACAGGGCCCTTGCACTGCCGCCCCTTCTCACCGTCCTGTCCAGGCCAGCTTCCCTCCTGGGATTGCTCCCTTGGTCCAAAGAGCTGCCACCCCAGGACATGTGTCTCCACCAGCAGCCAGGGCTCATGACAAAGACAGGAAGCATCTGGTTCCCGACCCACCCTCAGCTGATTGCCAAGCACCTGTCAGCACAGGCTCGGGCCTTCCTGCAGCCAGCTGGGCCTCCTGGAGTCAGCCTCACAGCTGGGATGCCTGGAGAGAGGGGTGTCCCCAGCCTGCAGGCGGGGTGTCACTGGAAGTGAGGATCTCACCAAAGGGACATTTGACAAAGAAACCGGAGACAGAGCTGGTGCAGCCTCCCTGGTGCCCGCCCCGCGGGGGGCGCCCTCACCCTGCTCAGCCCTTGGTCACCACGGGCCCCCCCTCAGTCCCCTCATCTGGGGACGGGCAGCTCTAAGGGCCCCTAGCCTGTCTGGCCGGCCACAGCATGGGCATCCAGGGGCCAGGGCTGGAGCTGGAGGAGCCTGTGTCACTTTTGCAACCAGTTCTTCACTTTGGAAACCTCAGGCATCTGTGCAAAACCTGGAGGTGGGAAGGACCGGCCCTCAGCCCCACCAGAGTCTTGCCCAAGGTCACTTTTGCCCCTGCCTGTGTGTGTCTCTCTGGTTCCAAGGGTCACCGCATGTCCTGCGTGCTCTGGGAGGCCCTGGGGGTCCTTGCAACCACCACTGTGCAGGACCTGATTCCCAGGTGGCCAGGCAGTGACCGGGAGGAGCTGACGCTGACGCAGGGCCCTGGGAGCCTGTGCCTGCTCATCCCTTCCAGGTGCCTGGAGAGGCCACAGCCTGACCGTGGAGGGTGGCTTTGTAAACAAACACTTGGGCCTGTCCCTAGGTGACAGTGAGTCACCCAAGGCTGCTGCCCTCCCTCGGGACCACACCCTCTGCTCTCCTGTGCTGGGAATTCCCAGCCCCTAGCCACAGTCTGGAGGCAGAGGAGGGCCAGGGCCCGCCTTTGTGTCCTTGCCCTTGTCATCAATTAGATCCAAAACACGGAGGCCTCCACCTTCCTGGCCAGGGAGGGACCCACGGGTGTGGCTGGGGGAAGTTTGTAGGACCAAGGGACCCTGGGCCCTGCGCCCTCTGGGGCCCCACAGGCCTCCCTCCCGGATGGGTGCCCTCTCCTACTCCAACCTCTAGAAAAGTGCCCACCTCCAAAATCCAAGTAGGGCTCCTCCAGCCTGTCCTCACCAGGACTGGGGGCAGTGGTGACCTCGGAATAGCTTCTGATACAAGGGTCCCCTTACGTCCCCCAGTAAGCATCCCCTGGTTAGAAAGAGCTCCTGACTGGGGTTCAGCTGCTGTGTCCAGTGGGGCCTTGGCTGGGGCAGGTCCCAGAAGTGGTGTCCAGTGGATACAGGGACACGCTTGCTGGCTCCTCCTGCCTCCTCCCCAGACCAGCCCGAGGAAGTTTGGGGAGGCAGAGGCCCCTCCCCCGGGTAAGGCCTGTGCCCACCAAGGTGCCCTTCCCAGTCCTTGGGAAGTGTCAAGGCTGGGTGCCAGAGTGGACTCCTGATGGCCTGGGGACAAGGCCACAGCAAGCACAGGGGAGGCGGGGCTGCCAGCTTCCCAGCCGGTCCTCCCAGAGTCACCCTGCCCGCTGGGTGTGCAGGATTGCCGGTCATTTCAGTAGGTGAAGGGCCCGCTGTCTCCAGAAACAGCACCGAATCCGGACCATAGGGACAGTGTCCTCCTGGCCCCAGGGCCACCTCCGAGGTCACCAAGAAGGCACCAGCGGAATCTGAGGCACAAAAGCAAAAGGCTGAGAAGTCTTTATGACGGTATAAGATTCGAGGTATAAGGCCGAGAGGCGAAGTGGAGCGGAGGCAGCGAGTGTAGACGACTCTTCCCTGCCTGGGACCTGGGGTTCGCAGGGACGGGAGGGGGTGGGATCCCCCGATTCTAGGCCCTCGGGAATCCCGGGCCTGAGCTGCTGAGCCTGGTTCGCGGTCCTAGACCACCTAGATTCGCGGCCGCTGGAACCACCCGGAGTGTCAGCTCGGACAGAGTCTTCACTCCGTGCGCCCGGGGACGCGCACCGAACACCCCGGGCTCCGCTCCCGGCCCGGGCCCAGCTGCTTCGTCGCTAGGCGGAGCCACACCGCGCGCGTTCCCATTGGCAGCAGGTGGCCCCGCCCTACCCGACAGGTAATCCACCCGCGCTCCCATTGGGCTGTAGCCGTCGGCGCCCCGGGGATTGGCCAGGTGGAGCCCCGCCTCGCCCTCATTGGCCGCAGGTGCCGCGCCCCTGGCACACCGCCCGCCCCCCATCGGCCCGCGCGCCCCCGCCCGAGTCCCGCAGCGTGGCGAGGCCGGCGCCGTCCGTCGGGCCTGCGC